TTTGCAGTGAGCTGAGATCGCACCATTGCACTCCAGCCTGGGCAACAAGAGTGAAACTCCATCTCAAAAAAATAAAAAATAAAATAAAATAAAAATAAAAAAGAAAAACATTTAAATCATGAAATTTGGACAAGCATCCACATATATGGCAAAGCCATGACCTTAAATCAAGGACCCTTGGGCTAAGGGCCAAGGCAAGCTGGGGGAACATTCTAGAAGCTAAGTCCGAGTCACGGGAGCCTGTCCGAGGGGTCAGCTAAGGTAACCATTTAATGCCTGACAACAAGTGAGTCAAGAACGCTACAAAGAACCGGATGGACAGCACTTTTATTTGATGAATGACCTGAACTACAAACCCAGCAGACCTCAATAAAACACGCTGCAGATCTCACTAACATCACGAAAGAGAAGAACTCTTCGGCCCCCGCTTTTGTGTCATGGTGACTCAAACCTCTCCAGCCATTCAAGGTTGAGGCCCAGGTCACCAACCAAGCATCAAGGGAGAAAAGGTCCCAGAGGTGTCCTTCTTTCCAAAGCCCAAACCATCTACCCCCACTCCACTGCCAGAGGGATGCACAATTACCATCCAGATCTTGGTGGCGCGACTCATCTTGCCGTGCTCAGCGAACATCCACCCGTGGTAGGACAGCAGCACCTTCAGGGAGTAGCGCATGGTGACGATGAGGGCCACCCACAGCCCGGTGCCAAACAGCACGCCGCTGACCACGTTCTTCGTCTGGCTGGACATGCAGTCACTGCGGAGACAGACCCAGACAAGGGAGGCTGTGTATGAGGTCGCACGGTGCCACCGAACGCCACCGGTGACGCCACAGACACCACGTGCTTCAGTGTCCAGCAGCCTGCCCCATGTAGAGCCGGGAAAGTCAGAGGGAGAGCACTTGCAGGAACCGAGCTCTTAAAACACTCACGGACTCTCTCCTCCTCACCCCAAAACCAATCACGCCGAAAGTAGCCGGCAGACCCGGGTGCCCGGGGCAGGCCTGTCTGCTCTCTTCCCACAGGTCCCTTCAGCCTGATCTGCTCTGGTGGCCTTGAAACCAACCAGGGCCAATTTGTGTCATCTGGAAAAAGACACAGCTTCCTCCAGGACCTCTGGACCAACAGCAGGGGGGATGCTGTGAGGCCGGGACCTGGCCACCGCGAGAGCTATGCCCTGCAGACTTGCGCCTCCCCGGCAGGTGAGCAAGAGATTCTGGGCCACTTTCTTCAGCTCTAATTTTTTTCTCCCAAACTTACTTTTAGATGTAATCATAATCTCAAATTATTTTGTTACAACTATTACCTCCAGTATTTATATCAAAAGAGCTTGTTTTTGACTTAGGAGTACTTAACACGAATAAAGAAACAGACTGTGTGAAACGGTCATGTAAATATTTAACTTAAATACAGGAAATGCTTTTGTTTGTGAAGGAAGGTAGTACATATTATGGTAAACATGCGACTTTAAAAATGAGACAAAATGCAGCTTTTTTTTTTTTTTTTTTTGAGACAGAGTCTTGCTCTGTTGCCCAGGCTGGAGTGCAGTGGTGATCTTGGCTCACTGCAACCTCCACCTCCCAGGTTCAAGCAATTTTCCCACCTCAGCCTCCCGAATAGCTGGGATTACAGGTGTGTACCACCACATCCAACTCATTTTTGTATTTTTGTAGAGATGGGGTCTTGCCAAGTTGCCCAGGCTGGTCTCGAACTCCTGACCTCAGGTGATCCACCTGCCTCGGCCTCCCAAAGTGCTGGGATTATAGGTGTGTGCCACTGTGCCTGGCCAGAAATGCAGCTATTTTGTGGTTTGTTTTAGTTTTGGTAACTGCAAAATATTTTTTAAGTAAAAACTAAGCATGCTTCAAATGATTAAAAGACCAATATATATAACCTAAAGGTATCCCCAATATTTGAAAAGCACTAATTTGGCCAGGTGCAGTGGCTCGTCTATAATCCCAGCACTTTGGGAGGCCGAGATGGGTGGATCACTTGAGTCCAGGAGTTCAAGACCAGCCTGGGCAACATGGCAAAACCCCATCAATATAAAAATAAAACGTAAAAAAGAAAATAAAATAATTCAAAATAAGAAATAAAAAAAAAAGAAAACCACTAATTGAACACTGCATAATATTTAAGTGGACAAAAACAAATTATCTTCAAGGTTATATACTCTTGCTCCAAAATGTGTATCTTTCTATAACCCGTGAAGTCTAGCACTGGAGTTTAACTGTAGTCTCTTTTTTAAACCTATATGCTCTTTTCTGGTCATCTAACCTATCAGCAAACCTGGGTTTAGGGATTTCAGAAGCCATCTTTTAGATAATCTACATTTTAGATTACTGAAAGAAAAAGACCTATATAGTTACTTGATTTGCAAAAATAAAAGTATTTTAGCATAAACAAATGACACATTCAAGATTTTTAAAAATATAGACATATAGGCACTTAGATAAAAAACGTTAGCAAAAAGCTTTCTTTGAAAGGACATGCTTCTTACAAGGCTGTCGGGGACAGACTCAGAGACAAACCCCACATAACACGTATGACTCCACTTTTTTACTCTGTTTTTTGTTTGTTTGTTTGTTTGTTTTAAGAAATAGGGTCTCACTATGTTGCTCAGGCTGGTCTTGAACTCCTGGGCTCAAGCAATCCTCCTGCCTCGGCCTCCCAAAGTGCTGGGATTACAGGTCACCGCGCCCAGCCTGACTCCAGTTTTGAAGGCAGCGGCCCAGAGAATCTGCAAGTCCCCTCCAGGACAGCAGCTCTGGAATGGCCCATGAGGCTGGAAGACGCTGGCCCTTAACCCGGCCTTTCTAAATTTAGGCCAGGGATGGCCTAGTTTACCAAAATAGGTTTAAGAGGTACAAAGAAACAAATCTTACAAAGACCCAGATTATTAAGAGCTTTAAACAGTCAACACTTCTAAATATAATCCAGTTTTAAGAGAAGGCCTACACTAGAGAGTAAATTAAAGATCTGGCCCGGGCTCAGTGGCTCACATCTGTAATCCCAGCACTTTGGGAGGACGACGCAGGTGGATCACTTGAGATCAGGAGTTCAAGACCAGCCTGGCCAACATGGCGAAACCCCATCTCTACCAAAAATACAAAATTTGGTTGGGCATGGTGGCGTGTGCCTGCAGTCCCAGGTACTCAAGAGGCTGAGGCAGGAGAATCACTTGAACCCGGGAGGTGGAGGTTGCAGTGAGCCGAGATCGCACCACTGCACTCCAGCCTGGGGGACAGAGTGAGACTCAATCTCAAAAAGGAAAAAAAAAGATCTTCATTAACCCCACGAGAGAATGAAAAGTATGAAGGAACAGCTCCACACACAAGGCTCAGAGGCGGCTATCCACTGCAGGCCTGCGGGCCCTGGGACCTCAAGGAAGACAGCAGCCAGGCCTGCCCCGAGTGCCCAAGTCTGCCAACTGCTTTCTGAGTGACAGCAGTGACAGCAGTCCCCAGGCAGACAAGGAACCTGGCAGGCATCCCAGCCAGGCATGTTTCTGCTAAAATGACTGGGAACTTTGATTCTGTCTCTTGCAGACACTTACAGAGGCCTGAGCCAGCGATCCTGAGCTACCTCAAGGTTGCAGGCAACTCAGCTGGACGCTCAGTGACTCTGGAGGGTCCAGGGCTTCCTGGAGAAGGAACAGGATGTGAAGGGGTCCTCTGCAGACCCTTCGCAAAAAAAGGCAGGAATCAGGGTACCTGCTCAAGCTGTCATCAGGAGATTCAGACCATTAATCTGCTTAATCTTTTCTTTCTAGTCAGCAGAATCAAGACTGGGCACGGTGGCTCACACCTGTAATCCCAGCACTTTGGGAGGTCGAGGTGGGTGGATCACCTGAGGTCAATAGTTCAGATCAGCCTGGCCAACATGGTGAAACCTCATCTCTACAAAAAATACAAAAATTAGCCAGGCGTGGTCGTGGGCCCCTGTAATCCCAGCTACTCAGGAGGCTGAGGCAGGAGAATTGCTTAAACCCAGGAGGTGGAGGTTGCAGTGAGCCGAGATAGCACCATCACACATCAGCCTGGGCAACGGAGGAAAAACTCCATCTCAAAAAAAAAAAAAAAATCAAATTCAGCCGTTAACTGTGAGTGAGTTTTCGTTTATGTCCCTTTTTCTGCCAGTTTATTTTCTTATTTCTTGCTGATTAAACAATATTTACATGCAAACAACCCGCAAGGCGTGACTATGAAGATCCAGAGCTTTGATTTTTAGCTTAGCCCTGACCTGGCATTGTGCCTTCCACCTGCAACTCCTGGCCCCAAAACAAAGCCCAGTTATGAGGAGTTGGCGGCTATTATTGACCTCAGATGATCCACCTGCCTCGGCCTCCCAAAGTCCTGGGATTACAGGTGTGAACCACCGTGCCCCAATGGCAAAAATGCCGTTGGTGTAAACAAGCAGCACAGAAATCGAATCAAACGCCTGGCACGGGCCAGCAGGGACACTTCCAAGGCACCATGGGGCTTTCAGACCAGAAAGGAAAATGTGTGTCCAAGCGCAAGGGTCACAGCTGCACGAGGAAGCTGAGTCGCCCAGCGTTCCACCGTCTCAATGTTCAAATGGCGATAAAGCAGCAGTGTTCACGTGCATTGGTCTCACGGAAGCTTCTGGGGCAGGGGGTGGGGGGACCTCAGTGCTACACTGAAGAAAGCAGATTTCAGAGCTGGCACAGAGCTGGGTTTAAATTCCAGCTTCCCCGCTCCCTCTTCCTGTGACTTGGGCAGACGCCTGCATCTGTCTGAAAGCTTCCTCACTGGTAAAAGGGATCCTAATGAGAGGTCACTGCAGTGCAGGGCCTGACCTTCCTAGACGGGAGTCTGGGCCATCTCCAGAACTGGATGGAATAACAGGCATCACAGACGTGCAATAAACACGTGCCATCAACAGGCAGCAGGTGGTTGGAAAAAAAATAAAATGAACATGTGCTGAATGTTACCTAAAGTGTCTCGGGGCCTTATCTCTTGGTAGCGAGAGATAAGCCCCAGGAAAATCCAAAACCCTAGGGGTGGGAGTGACAGGGGTGTCCCCTGGAGATTTCTGAACCACCCTGACAGAAAGCTAAGTGGGGGAGGTCCCTGCAGAGGACCCCAGAGCAGTCAGTTCAAGGGTCACAGAACTCTGGGATGAACGGACTCCAAGTGCAAAGAAATCACTACATGGGGATTCAGCCCCTTGAGCAGAAATTCCGTTTCAGAGCCCTACTGGCCGGGCTATGGGCACTGTCACTACTGGCCAAACCCTCGGGCCCTGACACCTTCCAAGGGGTGCCCCAGGGCCACTACCACTCTTCACCCTGGTCTTCAGAGGAAAGGCCGCAGGGGACCGCAAACTCCTAGAGGGACCTTAGCACCACCCAGGAGGCGGGAAGAAAGCCGACATGAGGACAGAATCAGGAGCTTCACATCGAATCCAGAACAGCGACAATCATCACATTTGAAGAGACATAAAAACAGCAATAAAATTGGTAACTTCCCAGACATTCGGAGATTTCACAGGATTACTTACGTTGTTTCCAGGGTCCGATTGATTTTTGCAATTATTCCTAACGAGGGGTCGATCTTGGCGTACATTGTTGTCATCACGCCCACCACCACGATAAGCCAACTGGAGGGGCTCGCCGGGTACACGCCAGTGATGATGCCATTCTAAAGACAGACACACGGGCCGTGAGCGGTGTCCTCCCACAACCCACAGGGCAACGGCGCTTCATGGCCCCCGGCAACAGGACTGCTGGGTCGGCAGGCAGGGAGAAGAGCGTGTCGGCAGCGTGCGTGCACTAAGAAACCATACCCCACTAGCTGGGACTCTCCCCAGAGTTTACAGCCTGCGGCGTTCCAGTTTCCTCCCTTCCACTACTTCTGAGCCAAAACCCACCCTGAAAGCTTCCGCAAGAGTGGACACCCCAGGAATCAGCCCAGGCACTAGTTTAGCTGGTGAAGGATGTCACTGAGCCACCATGATGTCCCGTCCCTAGCCTGCTACTGTCTAGAATGCCCTGAGACCCCAGCTCCAAAACTGCCCCTCTTGCCGCCCCTATGTCAGAAGGCTGCTTAACCTTGAAGATTTCATGGGAGGCCTCACTCCATGTTGAGAATTTGCTGTAAAATACTCCAGCCAAAAAAAAAAAAAAAAAGGATTATATCAAACGAAATTGGCAAAATTGTTGAACAAGGAAGTGAACAGTGGGGATCTGTAATCAGTCCTCTTCACTCTTGTGTATGTTTGACAACTCCAATTAAAAAACATTCTTACTAAACCATCCTAATAAGATATTGATTTGACCAAGGTAATGGATTAAAAATGACCAAAGCAGGCCAGGTGAGGCGGCTCATGCCTGTAACCCCAGCACTTTGGGAGGCTGAGGCGGGCAGATCACTTGAGGTGAGGAGTTTGAAACCAGCCTGGCCAACGTGGTAAAATACTGTCTCTACTAAAAATACAAAAACTTAGCCAGGTGTGGTGGCGGGCGCCTGTAGTCCCAGCTACTCAGGAGGCTGAAGCAGAAGAATCGCTTGAGCCCGGGAAGCGCAGGTTGTAGTGAGCCAAGGTC